TGAAACAATAAATCCATCAGTATTTTCCTTATCCTCATTCTTCAGTTTTTCAGGAGAATTTGATTTTTAGCTTTGTTTTTATTACATTCTCTGTGTACTTCTTTCTTTGCTTCCCCCCCCCCTTCAACTTTGTTGATCTGTCTTTCATTCTGCATCTGTAATGTGGGTGCTGTGCAGAGTTTCTCACCATCTTTCCTGATGACGTCACCTACACCCTTCCCACCTCACTTCCTCTCAGCCTTGTCCCTACAAGTTCTGCATCTATTAGCTCAGCTCACCCACATTTCCGGCCACATTGTCCTGTACATATGTCTTCAGTTTTTTCCACACTCCCATTCATTTAGTATTTACTGGCCGTCTATTGTGGACCACACAGTCAGCTAGAGACTCAACTACAAAAAAAAAAAAAGATGGCCTGTCCTTCCAGTAGCTGTCTGCTACCTCTCTCTCAATCATTTCTCTAGTGATCAAATTCAAGCCTCAGAGACACCTGTGAGTCTTTTTTTTTTTTTGCTTTTCATTTCTTCCAGTTAAGCAGCTGCTGTGCTCCATATGTGATTCTGATCTCTGAAACGTCTCTCACGTTCATGACCTTTTTTCATGTCTACAATCAATACCGTATTGGAACTTTTATTTATTTTTCCTGGATTCTGCTGTGACAATTTCCAAAGTGATAGTTTTGCAACATGCTTTCTCTTATAACTCCAATTCATGGTGCAAAGAGCTGTAAAATAAATTCTCTGAAAACGGTTTGCTCATAGTCATCTCCTGTTCAGAAACACGGTGAATAGCTTCCCATTGAATACCAAAAACAAACTAAAAAAAATGCTCCTCATCTTGACACTTCAATCCTCTTCCATGTATTAAGTTGAACTGAATGAAATTTTTATTTTGTTCTTCAAAAGGACAATTATTATTTTTTTTAAAGGTGACTGTTAGCCACCTTGTATGGTACAACACAATAGTATTCATGGACCTTCCACTCTTTTCTTGTCAGTGTCCCCTTCATTTGTCCTGCAGTCTAGAATATAAATGAGATCTGTCCACACTTTCCAAGCTGTTCACCTCCCTTCATTCCTTTGCTATTGTTGGTTCTTCTTGGACTCCTCCAGGTATTATCTCCACCTTGAATACTTCTATTCATCCCTCACTTCCATCCTCCATAAAGACTCATTCCCCATAAGGCACTTTCTATGGAGTCCCTTCTCCATTATTAATAATCCTGCCTGGAATAAATGACTCATGTCTCATCTGCCAGTGAGCTTCCCGACTGAGCTTGGGAAATGTTCTGCTGCATCCACTACTTTGCAAGTAGAAGGTCTGATTACATATTTGTGTAATTGTTAGTACCTTCAGAGATTTTTATGGGTTAGTTAGTGATCCTCAAGTTTGAATGTGGTACTTTCATCCTTATTATGATAGTGTCCTCCACTTGTTTATTTATTATGGACATTTGAACATTTTTCTGCTATTGTATCAATTAAAAAAAATCTTTATAAGACATGACATCAAGTATGCTATTTAGCTCTTGATTTCTCTGGCTGATATTCTTACATAGATTATACAATTCGATAACATGACTTGGAAGATCCTTTATGGATTCATTTGTTTTAAAATGTCCTAATTTATTTCTGACATCTCTCTATAAAGAATAAAGTTCTTCAGGTTAATTGTATTGTATTGTATTTCTTAAATTTTCTGGTTGTAAGAGGTTTGAACCCAGAGATGCTCTGCTATTGAGCTATATCCCCAATTATTTTTCATTTTATTTTGAGACAGAGTCTTGATAAATTGCTGAGGCTGGCCTCAAACTTGTGATTCTCCTGCCTCAGTCTTCTGAGTGTCTGGAATTACAAGTGTGAGCCTCTCTACTTGGCTAATGTGTGTGTCTGTGTGTGTATGTGTGTATGATTTTGAACATTAAATATATTCATATAAATAAATATACAATAACTTGAATATTATAACTATTTGAAGATATTCACATATGCATATATACACACATGATTATATAAATCTACAAGAATACGGTTTTAACCTTTTTGTAGTAATGTAAGTATCATGAGCATAAATAAAATATTAAGAAAATCACTACATGCCAAAAGATATGCCAGAAAAAAATGGAGTGCTTACTAGTTTATCTGAGGGCTTTGGGGCCAGACTTGGGTTGATTGCCCACGTGGAGACTTAGTTCACTCATGCAAAATGGAGACCATACCTACCTCCCAGAATTATAGGGAGAGTTATATGGATAACATATATTAAGATTTTAGAATATTGCTAGGCAAATAGTTATAGTTTTATCAATAAAAACAAATGACAACAAGAAAGAAGAGCCTTCTCTAAATCTATTATGATTCTAGATGTTTCCTTACAGATTCTTTAAAAATATCGACTGTCTATCTATCTATCTACCATCCATCCTTAAATGCTTTCTTGCTCATTATGGACTGGTAAGTATGACATCATTTCTTGCATTAGATTTATAGAGAAAAAGAGAGCGAGACAGAGAAAGGCCTCCTCCCTTCCCTCTGCTGCAGCAAGATCTTGGCGGAGGATGTGGAGAGCAATAAGCAATGCCAAGGCTGGGAGTAGTATTTAGGAAGAAGCGTCCATAAGCAAAGCTCATGCTGCAGCTTGGCATTCTTCCCCTAGCTGATGAAAGTGAAAAGGGACATTTCAAAAATTCTTTCCTTGTTAACCTAAGTCTAGAAAAACCTTGTCCATATAACCTGAAGAAATTTCTAGACAGAGTTTCCACCCAGTATTAATTATTTATTTAATTATTATTGACTAGGGACATCCAATCAACATTTTGGGTAACTAAAAAAAAAAATTAAAGCACCAAACATGTATTTTTTCATTGAGCATCATTTCATGAAAAGGAAGAGAGAGAGAGAGAGAGAGAGAGAGAGAGAGAGAGAGAGAGAGAGAGAGAGAATTCCTATTGAGTTCATTATCCATTAAATAATTAAATAAATATGTATGTATTGAATTCCTACTGAAGCTCAGGTACATTTCTATGTGTTTAAGGATACGAGTGAAAAAAATTAGTAAAGAAACTAATTCAGTTTAAAAAAAATATTGATTAGAAACACTATGATATGGAAACCTGACTCTCTTAGAGTCTTATAATCAAAATTGTTTGGATTTGACTCCCTGACAGATTATTTTAATAGGCAGGTTTTTATTACACATAGTTAGCACACCCTAGATGAATTTCAAAATGGTCCTAGAAAAGGTAGGTACCAAGAGCTCCTTGGTGAGGTCATGTGCCACTTCTTCCATGCCCACAATGATCACAACTGACGGACATATAGTGTGGACATGTTTAAGCTGTCAAATAATAATTTGTTTCCAATTCATACAAATACCCCAAAGTTTAAAATGAATACAATGAGTTGCTGAATAAGTCTGAAGATTAAGGAACAGACTGTCACATATGCTGTATGGATTTAGTTAGATGAGAAAATACCAAATAGAAATCTTTCATTTACCCTGAATAAAACTCCCACCCACTCCCAAAGAATGGTTTCAAGGGTTTTACAATATCCAGAAAGGAATAGTAAGTATTTTTTAGACATTTGATACCTGATTCCACTTGGTAATTTCTAAGGAAAAAAAATGCAATGCAATTTCATCATTCTCTAAGACTAGTCTATTAGAATGTGTTAAAAAATCTGAAATAATGCAATTTTCCTTTTTGAGGAGGCACTGATTTATTTTATTAGATTCATTCTCCTTTTCAAAAATCTTATGTGATTCTTCCTATGCTCTGGAAGGCTATGGACAGTGTGATCTGTCCCTTCCTCTTCTCCCACAATGACTATCCACAGAACCAAAGCTCTTCAGAAATGCTTGTGGAATGAATAAATTAAGGTTCTCATGATTATACATTGCAGAGAAAACTAACCAAGGACAATGCATTAGTCTCCTTCAGCTTCTACAAATATTCAGATTCACAGGTATATACTCATACCTATGGTACCTTGGGGTCAATGGTGAACACTGACCATTTTTAAAGTGTATTTTTTAAAAGGCTAAACTTACTACATGGAATATTTTGAACTGAAAATCCTAAAAAGGGGAAATACTATATGGATATCAAGGGAAGATTGAAAACATGTTATTGATCTTCTTCTCAGCAAGATAGAAAATGTCTTCCATTTTTTTAAAAGGCAAATTAAAAACACAGGATTTATTCGTCTGAACATATTGTAAAGCCAAAGATAATGTTAAAGATTTAAAGAAACAGTAATACTCATAACTGCCCTCCCAAATCAATATACATCCTAATACTGAATTTGAAAATTAACATTTTTCATGTAAGGACATAAGGCCCAGGATCAATAGATTTGACTGCTTTCACGGCACGATGAAGAATTACTCTCTTATGCTGTCGATTTTGGAAAAAAAAAAAAAAACAGGTAATATCTGTTCTTTAAAGAACTAACAACCTTGGTTTTAAAATATATCCCTTGCTGAAGACTAAAGCATCAGTGAATAAGTTACAATATTTTTATTTGCAAAACCCAACAATACTGAGTCATTCCTGGGCTTTCATCTCTAGTGCTCATTCTACCTGGGAAGGGCAAGCCATTTCATTTAGCCATTTAAAAAATTACTTGTCAGCAGGAAATCTTTAGATAAAATCATTACTCTATGTATTTCTCTAAAATTCAAAAGAATACATTTTCATTAAGGTAGAGAATTTTGGACTTTTTCAAAACCATTTATAATGATAAAACCCAAAATAAAACAGACATTTTAATATTTGTTAATAGCTTGAAACATAGGCAAAAAACCATAATTTTTAAACATCAAATCAAAAAGCCTTGGATGAAGGTGTTATCTGCATAGGAAATTGTACATGCTCTAAACAATGATCAACACAGGCTTGAGGATAAAAGACCAACCATAAAGAGATTGCCTGAAGTAAAAAATTCCTATTTTCCACTGATTTTCCCTCATTTAAAACATCCAAACAAAACATGTAGTACCTTTTAATTTTCTGAATGAGTAGTTCTCAATCAATGCTTCCTCCGTTAGAGACAACAAGCTGAAGAATCTACCGAAACAAAAGAAAAAAACCAAAAACCACATGTATAGATTTGTTAACTAAATATCAAAAACTGTAACTCACCAGTAAGCAAATACAATCTCTTTATCCAAATAATAAGTCTATGCCATGAGATCTGTAGTACAAAGAATGCAGTATTTGAATTTTAAAGCTTAATAATGAATTTTAAAGCATTTTACTCCAAGATGACATAAAGCAGATCCCTGGGAAAATGCCTTAAAAACAAAGCAAAATACATTTTTAAAAAACCCCAAACCATTACCAGCACATATGCAGCAATACCCCCCAAGTCTAGCCTTCGAGAACTGCTGCAGGATCCTTCCCCGGGAGCATTATCTTCGGGCTGGCTCTCTGGCTCTCTAGCTCCAGACAGACGCAGTCTGCAAGCCACCAGCTCGTGTCTGTGTGTGTCGGGGAAAGGGAAGCTGCAAATTAGAAAAAGTCCCCGCAGTGGCGAAAAGGAAAATAAGGCGAGTGGGAGAGGGAGAGAGAGCTCACTAGCCTCAGAATTTTCGAGAATGATGACAAGCCACTCAGCTCCGCCATCATTCACTGACAATAGGATGCAGCCCTGGCTTACGATTTAGAGGTTTGCCATAGGGGCTTCTGGTACCAAATGCCTGACAGGCATTTTAATTGCCTCCATCCAAGTGTGTCCCCAGGAGTCGAGTCTATAAGCCTATGAATGTCATCATCTGGTCTCCTTTGTGCTAATGCCAGACACACACACATCACACACACAACACACACACACACACACACACACACACACACCCTCTGCTAAAATACAGAGACAGTTTACAGGCATATAGGATTACAAACAAGTTAAGCTACAAAAACTGGACCTGACCAAATGACAGTTAATGGAATTTTTATCTGCGTTAAGAACATCAGAGATTCTTTGGTGTTTTGTCATTGGCTATTTATTACAATATTTTTTTATATCAAGTGAATATTGTTTATTACATTTCAAAATAAAAATGTTCATTAAAGAAACACCTATACTTATATATATTTTTCCTGTGGAAAATTCAGTCCCCTTATGATAATTACGCAGTTGGCAATGTTTTCCTTACCGGGGGAGAAAGCAAAAAAGAAAAAGGATTAGGAAACCAAGGGTTTGTATGTGATTTCTGTGGGCAAGGCATTTTATTCCTTTTCCATACAAAAGCAAAGGGAGGTGGCAACCAGCTAGAGGCTAGGGAGTTTGCAGTCCCTGAGGGCCAAAGGGGGGAATTGAAGCTTTGGCATAATCTGTACCCACTTCGTGTCAGCAACTGAAATTAACAGTTGAATATCCCTGTTTTACAGTGCCCCTTATCTAGTGAGGTTAAGTGTAGAACAATTCCCTGCATTATTTCTCAGAGAAAAGGGAAGGAGAAATATGTTCATAAATACATTAATTTTTATGGCATTGTTAGCACCCTGCCCCAGTGAATGGAGTAAAATTTGATGTCTACCAAAAGGGCCAGCTGCAAAGGAGGTTGCTGAGAGGGAGCATCACCATGGTTACCGGAAACAGAAAGTAAGAAGAAAAAAATAAGGTGATGATAGAGAAGAGGGAATAAGACCACAGTAGAGGAAATTTAGAGACAAAACGATATGCTTCATTCTTTCCTTCTTGAAAGAACTTGATCAGTTTTATGTTTTATTTTGAATTGATTAAAATGAATTTGCATTCTCCTGCTGGGACTGTTCTCTCTTTTTTAATCACTAGCTAATTTTGCTTTCATAAATATTCACATTTTGGCTCTTTTGTATGAGATCAATCCTGTCTCTCCTTGTCTCTCTGTTCATAGGCTAGATTCATGGAGACCACTCAGCTTAGCCCACAGCCTTTGTTTCATAGGTGAGAAATCTGAGGCCCTGGGAGTCTCAAGGACCAGCCTTGCTTCCTGATTCAGTCCATTTCTTGTCTTCTCTCATCAAGGGACTTTCTTTCCCTTTTTCTCTCATGTGTCTTTAGGCAAGACATATTCCAAAAACATCCTTTGTCTTTGATTTTGTAAACCTTTTATTTGCTAAAGCAGTAATCTTCCTGTTTAAAACACATTGCAATCATCCTGAGAACTAGCTTTGCTTAATATCTGTGCTGGATTGTACTTGAGGTCTGAAAAATCTGGGGTAATTATGTCAACAGCTTTTCTTTCATTTCCAGTCTGACAATCAGATGAATCAAGCATGATTGCCCTTTTGTGGACCTTGCTTGTTGGACCTGAGCTTAATCATCATACAGTGGGCATCCATCATAACTTGCGTCATTCTTTCTGCAAGCATGAAATTGGACGATCAAACTGAGCCAGCCTCCCCAGGCTTCTCCTAGGTATAGACAGTGTGAACCTTCTTGGAGTTATCTAAAACCATGCAGCTGGAAAATCAAGCCCAGGTAAAACAAGGGGGGGCGAGAGTTGTTAATCTAAAACAACCACTGGAGGGCGCAATATTTATCAAAAAATTTTTTGAATTACCCAGTAACAATTGCGACTAGGATTTTGACCTTGATGTTCTATTCTGTTTTTATTTTCTTTCAGAGTCCTTTCAGGATGGGGTAGGTAACTTATTTTTTTAGTTGTAGGTGGACACAATATCTTTATTTTTTATTTATTCATATATGGTGCTGAGGATTGAACCCAGCACCTCACACACACTAGGTGTGTGCTCTACCACAGAGCCACAACCCCAGTCCTGGGGTAAGTAGCTTAGAGGTAGAGCATATGCCAACCCTATGCAAGGCCCTGGGTTCAATCCCCAGTACCAAAAAAGAAAATTAAAAAGAGAAAGTTTTCTTTCAATATTCAGTTCATATAATTCATCAATTTTAGTTTAGCTCATCTATAGGTAGGGTCATATTGTGTTTTCAAAGGTCAACAACACAGTGGCTGCCACCACCACCATCCTTTCCCTTCGTACTTCAGTGAAAAAAAAATAAATTTGTTAAAAATTATTTGTGATTGCCATAGGTAATGATTACAAGGGATTTCAGAAGTTAGTAAATCCCACAGCTGGTTAGGATTCTTCCTCCCCTAAAAGGTGTCCCTTTAAATATGATCTTTCTGTTCAATGTCCATCTTTCTTCGGTGACTTTGGACAATAAGGTGATTTTTCACAGTGAATGTTTTATTTTAATATATTGTCAACAGTCCACTTCCAAATTCAAATTTTGATGCATGAGATTAATTTATTTAAATATGAATTATATTCTATCAGGATCTCATAAAGCATACATAATAGTCCTGGTCAGTCTAAACAATAGCATAGCTTCCAAAAATCATTAAATACTATCTGGAAGTCATTTCATATTTAAGAAAAAAAAAAAAAAACCAGGTTCAGTAAACGAGAATGAATTGGTCTATTTTTCTTTTCTTTTTCTTTTTCCCCCATTTGCTTCCATCATGTAGTAAGCACTATGTGTAAAATATAATTACTGTCCTAAAGTATGTCATATTCTAAGAATAAAAGATGACAAGCAATTGAAAGACTTCTGTGAAGTTTAAGCTGCTATAATTTATGCCTATGAGCCTAAATGGTGCTGCCTCCTCCCCACTCCTGTTTTAGCCCAGGACTTAGCCTCCGTAGTCAATTCATGTAGCCCTTTGTAATGGCACACCCACAGGTATTTCAGACACTGCACAGATTCCAGGAATAGGAAACAAAGGGGAACAGCATTTTCTCCTCAAGGAACTTCAAAGATAGTAGAGAAAATATGCAAGTAAACAGAAAACTAACTTCACACCTCTCTCTCTCACTTTGATGAGACACTCTGACTCTGCCCTTAGCTACAGCTTCCTCCCAGAGCTATCTGGAAGAATCTGATTCCACCATATTCCAAGATTCAGTTAGCTCACTTCCATGGCTCTTCTGGAAGACCTTTGGTTTCACTCCCTAAACATACTGGACTGTGTATTTGTGCATCAGTCTTTAAATTCTTTGGGAATGAACAATGGATCTTCCTTCCTTCTCTCCTTGGAGCTGTTGCTCATATCATCTTTCCAACCAAAGCTTTCCTGACCACTATAATAAAGATGGTGGCCATGCCCTCTCATGATCTATTCCATTTTTCTTTCTTTCTTCCATGGCACTCATCCTACCATAAAGTTTTCTTTTTGAGTATGTTTACTATTTATTACCTCATGCTAATTCCATGAGGACAGCCATTTTTATGGGCAAATACAAAGTACCTAAAATATACTGGCACTCAAAAATATTTTTTCAATGAGTGAATGTGAAAATGTCATTAGTGGAGGAAACAGAGTGTTCAAACACAAGAAAAGTTTTTCTATTCCATACTGCTCATTCTATTCTCTATGTTCAGTTTCCTTATGGATATTATCACCTTTTATTTGTAGTATAAACCACCCATTGCAATAGAATCAATATTTTGAATATAAATTTATTTAAAATAGATTTGTCTCCTACTTTCTTTAAATTCCACAAAGTACCTGACTGAGGGCTCTCATTTTTAAAATGCTCAGAAAGTTTTTGTCATTTATTGATGTTAAAATATGCTAAATTTTAATTTTTAGATTTTAAGATTAAATTAGAACAATGAATTAATTAATGTTGTGTCAAGGTCCAGATAGTTTGGAAGGACTTTATAAAAAGATGGCCATATATACTGTAATCTATACTTTTAAAAAATTGATAGTAGAAATAATAATGATAGTTACTAGTACCCTTAAGTTGGAGTTATTCTAAATATCATGGGCAGATATTTAAGTACTTTGCAAATTATTATGATACCCCAATTCATTGAACACTGTCTGGTCTTATTTAACTACAGAAAATGTTGCTTCCTTCAACAAAGTTGGTCCACACAAAAGAATATGGTGCTCTAATAGACCCCACCTCCCCCACCCCCAAAAAACAAAGGAATAAGTGTCATAATTAACACAATCTGAATGGAAAGACTGCTGAAAGTCTATGATTTTTTTACTTATAAAATGGCAATTTCACATGGTTCAGACTAACACCCAGAGAAACTATAAAAC